AAAGGATGAAGGCTGCTGCTACATGTGCGGGCATTGCACGGGTATGGACGTTCTGAACATTTTTATGGATTTGTGGTTGGAACATGTGCCATTGTTTATTAAGTTGGTTTCTGCAAGAGATGTTTGAAGGTTTAAGAAAATGGAATGAGCTTCAGTCGCGACGCTCGAGATACAGGGAGAGAAAACTGCAGATTCCGGAGCCGTCCGACCTACCCACGATGGACCACCTGGGCTTTGTTCCTCTTCACCTGGCGCACCTTGCCCAGGCATGGGTCATGCCCAATTTCGCCTAGAACTTGACGAATTTACGGTAGCAGCTAGAGCCCTATGCAAGAAATTTGGCACTCATGAATTTGATGAATCTGTGCTACTACAACTGTTCAATTCGACTAGGAAACATTCAATTGACACTGGTAAATCTATGGGTAATCAACCAATTATATCAATTAAAACTCCACACTCAGAATTCAATTCTGCACAAATCCATCCACGCGAAGGCTTTGTTTCAGCTCCAATCGATGATTTTATTGATGTTATTGTTACAAATTATGTGCATATCCATCCGCCCAATTGTTTGAGTTTCAGTAGTAGTTAGAGTTGTGGGGATTGTGTTGGTGGTAAGGTTAGTTGTCTTCTCAGTCGTTTGATTGTGGCCGATTGTGATCGATTTTGTGTTGATTGTGACCGATTGTGACTTGAGATTGACCGGTCACAGACAGTCACACTCAACACAAATTTGGTCACAATTAGTCACATTGAATACACACTTGGTCACAATTAGTCACATACAGTCCCACTGAACACAAATTTTTTTCCCGGTAATTTTTTAGGAGGTGGAGGCAGGGGTGGGGTGGTGGTAGGTGGATCCATAGGTTGGGGGTGTGATTTCCAATTTTTAATTTTCTGGAAATTTTGAAATCGCCGGAGCGGCCATCGGAGTGATCGCCGGAGCAATTCGCGGGGCCGTCGTCGGAGCAGAATTTGCCGGAGATTGAAGGGTGGGTGAGGTGTCTGGGGTGTAAATAATTAATGTATATTATATTATATTTTAATATTTAATAAATTTATTTACCACCTGATTTTTGAAATATTTTAATAAGTTTGTTATTTATGAAATGTAAACTTTAAAATTAGGAATTATGTATTGTTCCCATTTTGCTTTCTTGTATGGAAAATATGGGCCGCTAGTTTATTTCCTACTCGGTAAGGTGGTGGCACCACGAATGACCCAGATATAATTCGTGAAATTCTTTTGCAACAGGCACTGAAGAGTGAAGTCCAAATCCTCATATAATTCTCTACATGCCCTATTTTATACGTCATACTAGTAGATTTTGAGGGTAGGTTTATGCTTTGCACATCGTACCATTTAGCATTTGATTTGCGCAACTCCCCTTGTTTGGTTTTGATTAAAATTTAATTAAAATTTTAAATCAAAATCAACAATTAATTTTAACCATACATTTTATGAGACTCACAACTTTTCAACAACACATGTCATCAACTTTTATTAAAATATACTAATAATCTGATTTAAATCTCTACCAAAAAGAGGCTAAAATCAATTTTTTTCTCAGATCATTTTCAAAATAATTTCGTACGTGAACTCATAGTTTTTTCTACCTTTTAACCGTACATTCTAAAAAAATTAATTTTTCGTTTCATATAATATCTAGGCTCAAGCCTTATTTTTTATTTCTTTCCTTTTCATATAATTTAGGAGTTTAGGTAAGAAGACCAATAAATGGAAAGCACAAAAATAGTTAAGACCTCAATGACTAAAAAATAATAGACCTAAAAGGGGGACGACACATGGTGAAAAATGAAAATGAACAAGAAATGGAAAAAATAGAAATAATATTTAAGTTGAACTCGCCATGAATCTCAACTGCGTTACCTATTTTTTAAGTTAGATGCTCAAAAGAGTCTTTAAAATGACTAAAGGAGAATCCACTCGAGCCCTGGGCACCAATGAGAGGTTTTTTACGAGTTCTAGGGCCTTGAAGTTAGAATGACAATATCCCTTCGAGATATTGGCTTGGATCTCCCGTTTAAAAAGTGACATGGAAATTTGGAAAAGAATCATGTCTTATTCGATATTCAAAAGGAAAAGGAAACACGATTTTGGGACATATTTGATGCTAAATGATGTTTTTTTTTTTTTTTTTTTTTGTTGATATTTTTGATATCCTCATTCGAAATATCTGCTCAAGCCTATAGACATGACCCAATTTTTTGATTAATTTAAGATTTACGAAATATTTTTAGATTTTGTAGCTGCAAATCAATCTCAATATTAGGAACCAGCAGGTCAAAGAGTTTGTCAATTATTTGTCTTTTGTTGGTTGTTGCCTATTGATGGGCCACTGAACTGAAATTAAACCATTATTTTCCATATATTTTTCAAGATAAATTGAAAATATCGAGGGCTCGTTTGGTATGACTTTTACTTTTTATTATAAAAAGGCTTTTAGATAAAGTTATTTTAATTTTCGTTTGAAAACTGATTTTTAAAAGTATTTTCTATTCTGAAAGTACTTTTAGAATAAGCCACATTAGATATGTTTCCTCTAAAAACTATTTTAACTACCGGAAGCACTTTCATAAAATTAAACAAATAAGTTTCTTTTGACTTTTCAAAAGCAACGCCAAACAAACCCTAAATCATCAAATATGCAATAGGAATTCTTTTTTTGTCTTGCTTTGCTTTGCTTATGGGCACCTTCAATAAGCAGTAAGGTGTGGATTTTGCAATAAACTTTTTAAATTTTCTTATAACATTAAAAGAAAATAAAGGAGAAAAACAAATGCCCCAAATTTATTTAAAGAAAGAGATAACAAAAAATTACATTAAAAAAAAAAACATTTGGAGTGAGAAAACTAGCAAAGCAAAAAAAAAAAAAAGTTCTATCACATAAGAGTCCATGTGATAAAACTTTTGCTTTTAATTTTACTCATGTAGAATAGCTTCATGAGGAAGCTTCAATAGGACAGCTTTCTCTAAACATTTTTCTAATTAAATAAAGTACTTTCAAAAAGTTATTTAAATATGTTAGAAAGAAATTTTTTAGTCCAAAAATAACTTGACTTTTCAAAAAATAATACCAAACATTCTCAAGATATTCTCTCAATAAATAATACTTTTTGTTTTAAAGGGCTGGCTTAAATGTAAGCCGCATGAGACTCTCTATTTACCTTTTAAAATAACTCTCTTTATTTTTAATGCGCAAATATTGTATTTAATAAATTTAAATACTGTCATTTTTAAACTATTCAAACTACATTTAAATTGATTGGTTATTGGCATATAAAAAATTGTGTTAGATAAAATATAAGGAGAAATCAATAAATATTCCCTGAGAAAAATAAAATGAAGAGTTAAAATAAATAGCATTGTTGGGGTGAATAAAAATTTGACTCTCTAAATTTAGAGACATTCTCTATAGCACTTCACTATATTCTTTAAACATTGGATGCTCTCTACCTGAAAGAGTCTACCCTTAAAATCATGCTCAAAGATATTCTTTAAATTTAACTCTCTAGATTTGAAAAGCAAAACTCACTTTTTTATAATTAAATACATTCAAAATATTTCAATTTTTAATGAAAAAAATAGTATAATAATTTTAAGGGAAGATGGTGATAATAAAAGATATGAAAAAATAACAAATATTTTTGGGTAGTAAATTTAATTATTAAATATAAAAAGTCTGTTGGAATATTTACAATTTTTTATTCTCTAAATTTATATATTCTCTCAAAATTGTAGAATATGCTCTTTAAAAATAAAAAGACTTTTGAATATGCTAACGCGTAAGATGTTCTACACCAAAAACTTACTTGGTATAATATATTTCAAAACACATTTCTAAAAATAATGTTAAACGTACAACATAAAACTTAAACCGCATTTTCAATATTTTGAATGTTTTCAATAAGACACAATAAAACAATAAAAAAAAATTATTCAAATGAAATTTTAAAAATTAAAATTCTAAAAAATAAATTAAAAATAATAAAAATTAATGAGTCCTAAATAATGAAAAAATATAAATTTGAAATCTAAAATCTAAAATTTATAAAATAAAAATAAAAATTTGAAATTCTAAAAAAAAAAAATTTGAAATATTTTAAAATTAAAAATTCTAGAAAAATACAAAATGTAAAAAAAAATAAAAATAGTTCAAGCTCTTGATGATTATTTACATAAAAATTCTAAAAAAATACATTTAAATGAACATAGATAATAATCATCAATCCACATCATTATTTTATATTTTTATATTTTTCCAACTCAATTTATCAAAATCCATTAATTAAAACGTCATAAAATATCTCAAAATTTCAAACTAATCGTATTTAAAAAAAAAAAACATGTTTTTCAGAATGACATATCAACATATTTTTAATAATCTTAGACCCTCAAAATAAAAAATGTGAAAATGAATTCAAAACTCAAAGTTGAAATTAATTATTGACTTGAAAGAATCGTGGGTCTACGTCCAAAAAGAGAATGTATTGTTGAAATTAATTATTGACTTTGGTTTTAATTTTTTATTAGTTTTTAATCTACATTAAATAGGGACATAGTTGAAAAGTTGATAAAAATCTCATATTTCATGAATTATGTGATAAAAATCAATTATTGACTTTGAATTTTTTTTAATTAAAACAAACAAGGATTAAGTTTGTAACTAACAAAACTTATAAAATTTTTGTATTAAAATATGTAATTAAAATTAATTACTTGACTTTCAAATTTCTTTAACTAAAACAAATAAGGATTAAGTGTGTAACTAACATTAATTCTATAATTAATTATAAGCTACGAGTCCTACCTTCTCGTCTGTAGTAAAAACCAACGGATACTTGCCAACCAAAACGAGGACTGCTTTTAACAGTGTCACAGTTTCACACACTCAGTCACTTCTCTTTACCATTATTTATATTCCCCGAAGCCACTGTCTCTTCAGTACCTTTCTTCTTCTTCCCATCTCAAAATGAAAGATAATGGAAAACCCAGTTCCATTCACACCGTCTTCTTCTTTACCTTCTTTGCAATTTCCATATCCATATCCATATCCTCATCCTCTGCTTTAAAGTACCAGTCTTTAGTCCTCAATTCTCTCCCTAAACCTCAGTCTCTTTCATGGAACAACGAAAAAATGGGCACCGGACCCGACTCGGAATCCACACTGGATCCTTACTCGAACACTCTGTCCGTAGATTTGCACCATGTGGATAATCTTCCACCGTTTGATATCAATTCAACCCCAGAATCCCTCTTCGAGCTCCGCCTTCAACGTGACGCCGTTAGAGTCGAAGCTCTGACCACACTCGCCGCCGGCGCTGCTGGTAAGGTTTCCAGAGGTAAAAAGGACTTAAGCAGCTCGGTGTTTTCGGGGCTCAAGGAGGGAAGCGGCGAGTACTTCACGCGTCTGGGGGTAGGGACACCTGCCAAGTTTGTTTATATGGTGCTGGATACGGGAAGCGACGTCGTGTGGCTACAATGCTTCCCGTGCAGGAATTGCTACACCCAGTCTGACCCGATTTTTAACCCTAAAAAATCATCATCCTTTCATGGAGTCTCATGTGACTCTCCTCTGTGCCGTTGGCTCGACTCCCCAGGCTGCAATAACCGCAAGCAATGCCTCTACCAAGTCTCCTATGGCGATGGTTCCTTCACCATCGGTGACTTCTCCACTGAAACACTCACCTTTGGCCGAAACCGAGTTAATAATATAGCACTCGGATGTGGCCATGATAATGAAGGTTTATTTGTCGGAGCCGCCGGTTTAATGGGTCTAGGACGGGGAAAATTGTCTTTTTCGACTCAGACCGGTAGGCGGTTCGGAAATAAATTCTCTTACTGCTTAGTAGACCGGTCTGCTTCTTCTAAACCGTCTTCTATTACTTTCGGAGAATCGGCAGTGATGCAAAAGGCCGTTTTTACCCCTCTGATCACCAACCCAAAGCTCGACACGTTCTATTACGTGGGGCTTAATGGAATTTCAGTAGGTGGAGCCAGGGTAGCCGGGATTACGCCGTCGCTTTTTGAAGTTGACCCTCACGGTGACGGAGGGGTAATAGTGGATTCGGGTACGGCCGTGACCCGATTGACCCAACCAGCTTATGTTGCGCTGAGGGATGCTTTCCGGAACAAAACTTCGCATTTCAAACGGGCCCCGGAATTGTCACTATTCGATACGTGCTTTGATCTATCAGGTAAGACTGAAGCGAAGGTTCCGACGATGGTGCTGCATTTTACAAACGCCGATTTGTCATTGCCAGCGTCGAATTACTTGATTCCAGTGGACACTGATGGAAAATTTTGCTTCGCATTTGCGGGTATCAGCAGCGCGTTGACGATTATTGGAAATATCCAGCAGCAGAGCTTCCGGGTCATGTTCGACTTGGCAAAGTCACGGGTCGGGTTTGCTCCACGCGGATGTGCTTGATGGAAAGTGGAAACAGCTTCTTTTTTTTTTTTTT